TTAGCGCTGGGCCAACAGACTGGCTGTCTCAAAAAAAAGCAAGCAAGCAAGTTTGTTCACCTTTCACTTTCACTTGGAAAACATGAATTAAGTGGAAAATAAACTGTGCTTGTAAAATCGTATTTTGTTGATGAGATAAGGGAGTTTTTAGAAAAAAATCATTTACTTTCTTTTTTGTGAACAAGCTCGACGCGCTGGCCTTCGAGGGCTGCGAGCGTCACGCCGGGTCGCGAACATTCTCAGCCGCCTGCAACCCTCCACCTCCCAGGCTCAAGTGATCGGTCGCCTCCAGCCTCCCACCTCCTGAGTAGCTTGGCATCTAACAGGCGTGTGCTACCACGCGCCCTTATTTTTGCTCGCCTTCTGGTTACGAGATGGCCGGTGTGGCCATGCTGCCAGCCTCCGGCATCTTCCAATCGCTGACTCGCCTTCCAAAGTAGCTGGATTGAGCAGACGCTGTGCGCCGCACGCGACGCCGCGAGTAATTTTGCTAGTTCCCACTAGTACGAAGATGTGGTTTTCACTATGTCTGGCCAGGCTGGTCGTGAACTCCTGGGATATCAAGTGATCTTGCGTGCCGCGCGCCTTGGCGCCTCCAACTGCGTGGGAGTGTACAGCGCAATGCACACGAGGACCAGACTCGCGCGCGCGCCCCGATTTTTACTCACGGTTACTGAAGGATCTTTTGTTTTTATTTTGGAGAATGGAGTTCTCGCTCTGTGTTGCCGCAGGCTGGGAAGTGCAGTGGCGAGATCCTCGGAGGTTCACTGCAAGCTCGGCCTCCGCGGTTTTGACACCATTCTCTGCCTCAGGCCTCTCGAGTAGCTGACATACAGGCGCCACTGCCACCTCGGCCCGGCCTAGTTTTTTTTTTGATTATGTTTTTAGTCAGAGACGGCGGTTTGCACCCGTGGTTAGCAGGATGGTCTCGATCTCCGCTCTGGACCTACGTGATCCGGCCCGTCTCGGGCCTGCAGAAGTGCGTGGGATTACAGGCTGACCACGCCGCCCGCGGCGGCCGCACTAAGAGTCTTTAACTTTTCTTGTAAGATAGTACTCCTGAACTGTTCAAAGGAATATTAGCAGTCGCAGAAAACCTTTCCGGTGAAATGCTTAATAAATAAGAAGAGATTACGCAAGCCTGGAAGAGGCTGAGGTGGCGCAGGCCTGTAAGTCCAGGCGCGGACTTTGGGAGCGCGATGAGGGTGGATCGACTGACGTCAGAAAGCTCAACACCAGCCATAAATGGGAAACCGGCATCTCTACTAAAATGCAAAAATTAGACGAGGCTTGGTGTTGCATGCCATGTAACCAGCTACTTCAGGGGGTCTCTTTGAGGCAGAGAAGAATCGCTTGAACACGGGAGGGTGCGAGGTTGCAGGGAGCCCAGGGATCATCGCCACTGCACTCGCAAGCCTGGGAACAGAGCCAGACCTCGTCGCTACAAAACAAACAAACAAACAAACAAAGACTCTGGGCGCGCGGTGGCTCGACGCCAGTGTAATCCCAGCACGCTTTGTTGGACGTCCAGGGGGGCAGATCAACCTGAAGTAAGGAGTTTGAGACCAGCTACTGGCCAACATGCGGTAGAGCAATCGCACATCTGACCTACCTAACATACAAAAAAAACCTAGCTGCGGTCATTGCTAGGAGGCCACCTGTCAATCCAGGCTCACTCAGGAGGTTGGAGGCAGGCACCGGAGAAATCCTGGACACCAAGGATGCCGGCACCCTCGGTTGGCAGTGACGTCGAGGGACTCGTGGCCATTGCCACTCTAGCCTGGGGCACAACCAAAGCCGTAAGACTTCATCTTCAAAAAAAAAAAAAAACTGCCCTAATGGAGATGTGGAAGAATAAAGACCTCAAGAGGAGAGCTTCCTTTAACTCCCAAACTCTGGCTCATTCAGAAAAACTCATCTCTCCTTCTGCTGACATCGCGAGGATGACTTTTTTCTTTTAACCAATTACAAAGCAGACACTGCACAGGCAGGAGATCCTCCGAATTCTTGGGACAGTCAGTGCCCTGATGCGGATTATGTACTTGCTCTAGGGTTTCACCGCACGCGCTGCCAACAAACTTCAAAGTAGGAAAGACCCCCTTCAGGAACTCACAACAAAACATCTCGTGGGTTTTTTTTTTGTTTTTTTGAGATGGAGTTTCACTCTTGTTGCCCAGGCTGGAGTGCAATGGCACAATCGTGGCTCACTGCAGCCTCTGCCTCTTGGGTTCAAGCTATTCTCCTCCTCACTCTCCTGAGTAGCTGGGATTACAGGCATGTGCCACTATGCCTGGCTAATTTTGTATTTCTAGTAGAGACGGGGTTTCTCCACGAAGGTCAGGCTGGTGTCGAACTCCCAGCCTCAGGTGATCTGCCCACCTTGGCCTCCCAAAGTGCTGGGATTACAGGTAGGAGCCACTGCGCCCAGCCCCAAAATTCCTTTTTTAAATTAATATTCTAGTGGCCCACTATTCTCCAAAAATTCCTACTTTAAATTGTTGCATGACCCCTGTAGTAAAAAGCATCACTCAGATCTGACAAACTCAGTGACACCCCCAGTTTTTACAAATTTAGTGACACCCCCTCAAAGTTAACAGCATGATTATATAATTGGGAAGAGTTGTTCCTAAGAGAGAACATGAGTTCCAGAGATGTATAAGAACTCTCCATATGTGTAATCTGTACTGTCAGCCCCAGAAATGCCCTGGACACAAAATCTGTCCAAGCTGAAAACAAAATTTGCCAACTCTAGCACATCACTTTGATTCAGGTGGTCTTCACTACAGGAATTTTTTCCGTGCAACCCTTAGCTAGTTGATTGAGGCTAAGAAGAGAAGACCTGAGTCTGAAGCAAATAAAAGTTATATACAACTTTTACCGACATTTTTGAACACAGATAGTTTTAAACCAAGGGTCACTGTGCCAGGAGGGGAAAAATTAAGTACTGTAATTATATATATTGAATGATATATAGAAAGCTATCCCAAGGATAAAGGAATCACTGTTTACTCTGGTAATGATCTGGAGGTTTTAAAAACACACACACACACCCCCAAAAAAAAAACCACTCAAGTTGACTGGGCCAGAAATCTTATTTGCTCTTCCTTCTCCCCAACAGATTTTTATTTCGAATTAGTTCTATCTAAAGAATTTACACCCTTGTTCATTTAAGTCACCCTAAAGTGGAGTATTTAATCAATATTGGTTACTTTCTCATTGGAGTCCTGACATTTTAAAGAAATTCTAATTAAAACGGACAATATGAACAGATCCTGATGGAATTATTCTTGTTCACCTACTCTTTTCTTTTGGACAGAGGTGTCTGCCGGGACTGAGATGTAAGTGATCAGCTGAAGGGAGAAATTGTACACCATGTGACGGACAAATTAACTGCCTTAAGAAAGCACTTACGACCATTCTGCAGCCACTCAGTGACCTTGGCTAGAAACCAATGGCTGTGCAGTGTGGGGTAAGAGGAAAGTAAATACCCTAGGGATCCAGGACTTGTGCATTTGGTGAAACGTCCGCTTCCACTACAAGGCTTTGGGATGTCTAGTCTGTAGACTGGAGGAACGTTAATACTGACTCACGCAGAAACGATATAGCTACACACTGAACTGGGGGAAGGGGTGGCTAAACCCTCTGCAAATAGGAAGTGCCGCAAGAGCACTAGGGTGAGGATGCGGCCCTGCGTGAGCGCAGCCTTCGGGTTTTCCTTCCCCGGATCAGCACCGACTCCCCCGCTCTCGGCGAGGCGCCTCCAGCCCCCGGTAATGAGAAATGTGCCCGCCGCAGCAGGGGCCCACAGGAATGAAGGGCGCCGGCGCTGCGTAGGCCCAACAGTTCCCCGCGCCCTCGCCCCCGGCCCAGCCCGGCCCTTCTTCCCCCGTCCCGGCAGAGTGGACTCACCAGGGGGCGAAGAACTCCACGAGCATGAGGCCCGCAGAGCCCGTGTCGGAGACGCGACTCTCGAAGTTGTCGTCCGTGAGTTCTAGCACATCGGAGGCAGCGGCGAGGCGGGCCGCGGCGAGAAGCAGCGCCACGCCCGGGAATAGCGCAAGGCGGCGAAGACGCATGGCGGCGAGGTGGGGTGGAGGCGGCCGGAAGGGTCGCGGCTCAACTAGGACTGCGGAGGTCGGGCGCCCGACCACACACCGGCTGCCTGCGCTCGCGCGTCTGGCCCAGGCGGACCTGCAGCCGGAGGTCCCAACCCCCAAGCCCGGCTCGGGCCGCTGTGTGGCAGCCGCCGATTGGCTGCGCGGCGCCTGCGTCGGGCGGGCGGGACCAGCTGGTAACCGCCGAGTGGCCGGAGTGCGGGGCGGGGCCGAGGCGGCGAGTGGCTGGGAGAGCGTGGCTGGGCCCGGTCCTAGGCAGGGGTCAGGGGCTAGGGTCGGGTCCCGGGCTGAGCCGAAACCTGGGGGTCGGGCGGGGCGGGGAATGGGGCGCAGTGAGGCTGGGAGCCGGTCCTGAGCTCGTCCTGCGTAGGGGTAGCCGGGCCCAGGGGGCGCCTGAGCTGGAGGCGGAAGCGTGAAGTCGGGACTGAGTGGGCGAAGAGAACCTGGGCTGAGGTGAGGCCCAGAAGCGATAATGGAGGACAGAAGGAGCTAGCCCCCGAAGGAGTGTTGGGGTGGACACACCTGGGACGGGACCCATTTTCAAAATGTCAGGCTTTTGCATTTTGTCCAATTTCTTTTCACTTGGTTTCTCTTTCGTGGGCAGGCCAAGTCCTCCCCGAACTCCACCTCATTGCCCGATTCTCTCAGGCCCAGGTGGGGCCCAGATTCTTTGTCCAGCCCCGGGCCCCTGCCCTTGTGGCTGCTCCTTTTTTTTTTTTTTTTTTTTTTGAGATGGAGTCATTGCCTCTGCTACCGCCAGGCTTGACAGTGCAGTGGCGCCGGGATCTCGCGCTCACTGCAAGCCTCCGTCCTCCCGGGTTCACGCCATTCTTCCGTGCCTCGCTCCTGTGTGTTAGTTCAGGAGGTAAACTGGCGCGACTTCTAGGCCGGCGCACCACGCTAGTATTTTTTTGTATTTAGTAGAGAGGTTCTCGCCGTGTGTACCAGGAGGTCTCGATCTCCTGGACGCCGTCGTGAATCCGGCCCTCCTTGTTCCTCCCAAAGAAAAACACAAAATAAAAAAAAAAAAG